ACTTTAAGATGTAGTATAAAACTACAGTAATAAAAGCAATATGGTACTGGCACAAAAGCATACATTTGGACCAATAGAATAAAATAGAAAACCCAACATGAGTTTTCTGATATTTGCTAATAAGGCAAAAACCATGCAATGGAGAAAAGACAGCCTCTCAAAAAATGGTGCTGGGGAAGGTAAATTCCCACATGCAAAAGAAAGAAAAAAGAAGATCCAAGACCACAATCTGAAACCTGAAACACTAAAAATCCTAAAGAAAAATCCTACAAGATACAGATATAGAAAAGGACTTTCTGAACAGTATTCCATGTGCCCAGGAATAAAGGGCAATGATCAACAATGATCAAAACTAAAAAGTGTGTATACAGCTATGGCAATTATCAACTAAATGAACGACACCTAGGTCTGGTTCCCAGCACCCACCTGGCAGTTCACAAACGTGTAACTCCAGATCCAGGGGAGCTAATGCTTTTTTCTGGCCCTCTGCATGAGGCACGCATGTGATATACATACAGACAAAATACTCATAGACATAAAATAAATTTTAAAACAAATAAAAATGTTTAAATGTATGTTTGTCAGGAATACAACTCTGTAGTTTTATCAAAATATTTTTTTTATATTCAACATAGCACTACTGTTTTCTTCCTTTTCTTCATTAAATGTTTGATAGAATTTATGGTAAAGAGATCTGGAGCTTCTTTTCACAATGGTTTTAAATTTTAAACATCCAATTTTGAAAAGTACATAGAGCTGCTGAAATTATTTCTTACATGAGCTTCTCTTTTAAGAAATTGTCACTTAAGTTTTCAGTCACTGTCACAAAACTATTCATAATTAAAAAGCAATGTTTACTTTATATGTATGGGTATTTTGTCTGTGTACCACATGCATGCCTCATGCCCAGGGAGGCCAGAGATAGCATCAGATCCCCTTGAACTAGAGTTATAAAATATTGTGAGCCAAAATCTATGTGTGGGATATCAAAGGTCTTCTAGAAGAGCAGTCAGTGTTCTTAACTGCTGAGCCATCTCTTCAGCTCCAGGTTATAAATTTCTTATTATATTTACAACAATATCTATGGCTTTGATGTGCTGTTCTCCCTCCCAACCCAGGCAGCAATTTGTATTTCACTGGAGATGCACTGACTTTACTAATACATCATTGTACACTGTATTAGTTTTGCTCATCTTTTTATGTCACATTTTATTGCCACGTCTGTATGTGTGTCACATTTGCTCACTTGGGCATTGCTACTCTCTGACACAGGCATCCTTTAAGTTCTACTTTGCAGCACGTTTTGTCATGCATTTTCCTTTTTTCATTTCACTCACGGGTCTTTACTAACTGTCCTTATTAGTTTATTGTCCACTTGACACAAACTAGAGTCATCTGTGAGGAAAGAATCTAAAATGAGACAATGCCTCCATAAGACAGGCAAAGAGGCAAGCTTGTGGGACATTTCCTTGACTTGGGAAATGGTATGGGAAATTGAAATGGGAGGGCCCAGCCCACGCTGGGTGATGCTGTCCCAGGGCAAGCAGTCCTGGAAAGCAGGCTTACAAAGGCGGAGGTCAGTTCTCTTCCTTCAGGGACGGGCCGCTGCTGCAGTGTAAGACAAAATGCAGCCTGTCCTCCCCAGTTACTTTTGATCTGTGTGTTAGCACAGCAATAGAAACCCTAACTAAAGCACAGTTAGCATTTAATTTTTAACTATTGGGGATTTTTCTGAAGATGAGATGTTTCTGTTTTTCCAGGTGTGGCCAGTACATCTAAGTCTGTCTTTCTTTTGGAGCTATCATATCCACATATATCCATGTGCAGTATGGTATAAATGTTGTATGATAGTACTTCATCTTAAAAGCATATTTTATGTTTGTTCACAAACAGTCCCTTTCCTTTGTCATTCTGTCAGAACAACCTTCTCTTGCATTTTTATTTTATAGAATAAATGAAGATTAAATTTTTGGTCTGGAAAAAAGTATCTTATTTAGTATTTAAAGGTTGTTTTGCTGGAAAGGAATGTAGGTTATCAGCGTTTCCTTTTTGTTACCTGAAAATATAACCTCAATTCCTCATTATGAATTTCAGAATTCTTGTTTATTATTACCCATTTCTTCTTATTGTCTTTCTTCTTTCATCTGTTTGCTTTAAAATTTTAACTTTGCATTTAAATTTCAAGACTTAAGTAAGTTTTCTTTTTACTTCTCACCTAGTCTCTTGAATTTTTCAGTTTATGTTACTTACTGAATAAAAAAAAATAGACCATGACTGCTCTAAGGTATGGTTGAGGAGAAGGTTTACTGCAGATGAAGAAAAAAACAGCCAGAGGCATCTGGAAGGATCCAGACTGAACTGGGCCAGCTGACTAAACCAGGCCATGAGAGGACGGGGTGCGAGTAGGGAGAACAAGAGAGGAAGAGAAGAGAGAAGAGAGGAGACCAGCAGCCAAGACAGCCAGGAGACCAACAGGCTATTGCTGAGTTATGTGGAGAAGAGAAGCAGGGGGAAGGGGAGCAAAGCTCAGGGAATGGAGAAGTTTAGGGTAGGTGTCAGCTAGAATGACTCTGTAACAGGTTCTGTGATGCTGACAGACTACTGGAGAACCTGGTGGCCAGCTTCCACTTTGATGTGTTAAATAGGCACCTCAGTAACCCATCTGTCCTGGGTTACTGAGATCTAACATCTATTTTCAAGTTCCAGTTAGCCCATTTAACATATTAGAACTTACATGTGCATTTCATAACTGTGTTCTATATTTTGATTTGACTTTCTGTAAGTTTCACCTGGGATTTTTCTGTTCGTCTACTTTCAAATTTGCCAAGTTCTCTCCTTCTGTATTTAGTCTTCTAATACTTAAATCCACCAAATGAGGTAACTTCAGATATTGTATTTGAGTGTTAAAATGTCTTTCTGATTTCTTACTTGCTGTAGTAAGAGCACCGGACTGTTGTAACTTACCTACTTAGAAGTTCCCCCTCGCTGTGCAGTTTTTTTATGCTGTACAAGTATAATTCTCACTGCTTTTATTTATTTAAAATCTGCCTGAATGTTGGATATTATTGACTGAGTTTGTTGTTTCATCTTTTGTGCACCTAGGCTGTATGTGTGAGAAAGCGATGAGAGACGAGAGAAAGGGAGAGCAAAAGAGAGAAAGAGGGAGTGAGAGCATGTGCCAACCTAGAAGGGGAAGCTGAGTACAGGTCCATACCCTATGGACCATATGCCAGAGAACAAGTGTGAGGCCATCAGTCCTGGCCGTTCACCTTATTTCAAACAGAGTGTTTTTTTGCTGCTTCTTATGCTGGGCTAGTAGGCCAAGAAGTTTTGAGGGTTCATATGGCTTTACTGCTTATCTCTCCACAGAAGGACTGAGAATGAACATACACCACATAAATACACACACACACACACACACACACACACACACACACACACACACACACACACATATATATATATATATATATACTCTGCCAGGCTGTAGGTGGGTTCTGAGGATTTGAACTCAGGTTTTCACACTTGCAGGCACTTTACCCTCTTAATTTATCTGCCCAGCCTTTATTTTTAATCAGAAAGAACACAATTGCTCTTTAAGTGTTCCAAAGTGAGGCAACCATTCCAACCACTGAGAACAGTGACCTGCTGATTACTGAAAGTCTGTCACAGGTGATACAAGTCAACCCATCTCTCACTCACACAAGTTACTGAGAGTAAATACACAGAAATGCCCTCACCCTATGTCGAAATGAAGCAGGATCTTAAAAACAGGGTAAGCATTCTATTATTTACTCTAGTGTATCTGAAGACCTTTGGAAACTATAAACATGCTGTAAAATGCCTTACATGCTATTAACATTTCTAAAGCTACATAAAAGCCTTAAATTGAACATGAGAGGACAAAGATGATTCAGGGACAATAAAAAGTAGCAATCAAGAGTCTAAGATCAAGGAAAGAGTAAAACTATTGTACCACCAGGTGCCCAAGGCAAACCGTTTTTAGTTTGGGCTTAAATGACTCCTGTTTAATTCTGCAGGTCCTGGAGCTGTTCCTCAACAAAGTCAGGTACAGGACAAGAAGTTGGAATGAAAAGTAAATACCATTCTGTATATTATGAAAATGTACTAATATTAAGAATATATATGACTTTTTACCACGTGACCTCATCATGAGTAACTGAGGAGTAAGTCACATTCACTCATTTTTACCAATTAAAAAGTACAGTTTTCAGAAGCTATAAATAAAATAAAAAAAAAAACAATAACTACTATAACAAAAAAACACACACAGAAGGTGAGACCAGCATTCTGACAAGACTAAGCTGAAAGGAAGAAAAGGTGGCTCCATGAAGGAGTGAGGCTGAAGGACCACGAGAATGGCTTGCCGCAAACAAACACCACTTAGAGGAGCTGTGAGGAAGGGGCTAGCAGGGCAGAAAAATGGCTATGAATAAACAGCTTCCTCGATGTTTAAAAAAAGATTATCAAAAAATTGTGAGTAAAACAGAACTACAAATATGGTTGTAAAAAAATGTGTGCATTAAGTGAGCTAGTAAGTCTGCTCTAGACTTAATTAAGGAAATAATACAGCTAAAATATCAGGGTTATGAAAGAAAATCTGAAATTCCAAAATAAATAAATGAACTAACTAAAAGTAATTAAGATTTTAAATAATAAACAGATATATGTTACATTGTAAAAGAAAAAAACCCAAAATCTTGTTGGTTGTAAGTGAAGATGTAATCGAAATCCCTTTCACAAGCTCCAGTTCAACTCCTATATTGTTAAGACTCTTTAAGAGTCATTTCACTAAGGGTAGAATAAAGAAGGCAGTAAACATTATCTTTGCATATATTAACATTTCATTATATGAAAAGTGTTTTTTGCTAACTATGCAGAAAGGTGTATCAACTAATTCCAAAATGATGGTCACTGAAAAGATTTCCATAAAACAATTTTCAAAGTCATTCAACAATCTTATTAATAAACTAGTATACCTTAGCAAGTGATTTCACAATAGGATTCTCCATAATACCCTTGAGAAAAATTAGGTCTATTTCTTCTGCTCCTGTGGATGAGGGCAGCTCTGTAAGGTTTTCCAAAACTTGCTGCATTTCTGATGAGATAAAAACCAGATAAAAAAATTAGTGAGTACATAAATTAAGTAAGACTCAAATTCCAGGCCATTATGGAGTAAGAATATAAAGTTTATCAAATAAAAGGGCATTAAGCAGAACTTTTAAATTCCACCAAACATTTAAAAACAGAATTAAAATTAAAACCTGACAAACTGTCAAAATAATGTAGGAAGACTTTTCTTTTGTAGGTGAGGGAGTTAAGAGCAGTTTTCACTTACATAGCTCTGGCTGGCCTAGAACTTAAGAAATCCACCTGCCTCTGCCTCCAGAATGCAGGGATTAAAGGTGTGTGACACCATAACAGCAAGAATACTCTTATTAATTCATTTTATGAAATCAGGTACTTGGATCTGAAGCCCAGAGAAAGATACTCTTAAGAAAACCACAGCTAGTATCTTATAAATACAGATGTAAAAATAAAACAATAGCTAAGTAAACTAGAAACAGAATGGATTATACATAAATGACAAAAACAAGTTATTCCAGGAATGGAATATATGAAAGTCAATCAATAATAGACTAGAACCCAAGAGCATTTCAAATAGACATATAACAAAGTGTTTGACAAAATCCAAAACATCTTTAACATTTTTTTAACATTTCATTTCTTAAAAAACCAAAATACTCCCAAATCCCTCTCCTTCCCCTAAAAGCACTAACAGAACTTATAAAGTAAATTCCTGACCCAGTATAGGACATGTATAAAAATATGAAGCTAACATCATACTTAGTGGCAAAACACTACATGCTACAAAGGAAACAAGGCAGGCTGGCTTTTCCATTACTGTAAAACTAGTGGAGGCTTCAGCCAGCAACTAGGCAAAACAACACAGCTCAGAACATCCAGGCAGAGTTAAGTAAGACTATTGCTATTTACAATGATAAAATCTTATCTATGGAAATCCTAATATATAACAAAAGAACACTGATAGAATTAGTAAGCGAGAGTCCTTTAGATGGCTTGGCAAGTAAAGGCATTTGCTACCAAGCCTGATGACCTGAGTGTGACCCAGGTATATATGGAAAACAGAATCAACTCTTACAAGTTGTCCTGTGACTTCCACACATGCACATGAATACGCAAACACACACACACACAAATACACACACACACACATATTTAAAAAACTCACAAAACATTATTTAAACAATGAATAAAGTCCTAAATAAATGGCAAGACATCTGTAGTTAAGGTCCTTGGCTCAGTCAAAATCTTTTAAAAAGCTGGAGTACTCACATCATGTGGTACTAGCATAAGTGCAGCTAAACTCGGGAAGTAAGTCCACACATTATTGGCCACAGTAACAAGACTTTCAGTAAAGAAACCCCCTCCACCCCCACAACAACTTGGACGACTAGTCACACATAAAATGGTACCATATATAAAATGCTAACCCAAACCCTTGTTCTCAATAGGTATCATAATCTTATTCAGTTTTAGCTCACTTGGATGTTTCTTTAAAAATAAACTAATACTGCAGTTGTTTAAACTTCACACTTATTTTCATTATAAAAGAACACAAACATTATCAAAAGTCAGACCATACCATTAAGAGGTTGGTAATTTCCAGAAATAATCCCACACACCTACGGCCACTTGATTTTTGACAAAGGAGCCAAAACCATACAATGGAAAAAGATAGCATTTTCAACAAACGGTGCTGGTCTAAATGGATGTCTACATGAAGAAGAGTGAAATAGATCCATATTTATCACCCTGCACTAAACTAAAGCCCAAGTGGATCAAAGACCTCAACATAAAACCAGACACACTAAATCTATTAGAAGAGAAACTAGAGAAGAGCCTTGAACTCACTGGCATAGGAGACAATTTCCTGAACAGAACACCAACAGCTCAGGCTGTAAGACCAACAATTAATAAATGGGACCTCAAGAAACTGAAAACTTCTGTAAAGCAAAGGACACTGTCAACAGAACAAAATGATAGCCTACTTACAGACTGGGAAAGATATTCAACCCTACATCTGACAGAGGGCTAATACCCAAAAGAACTCAAGAAATTAAATACCAACAAACCAAATAATCCAATTTAAAAATGGGGTACAGGGCTAAACAGGGAATTCTCAATAGAGAAATAGCAAATGGTGGAGAAACATTTAAAGAAATGTTCAATGTCCTTAGTCATCAGGGGAACTCAAATCAAACCAACTCTGAGATTCTATCTCACATCCATCAGAACAGCTAAGATAAAAAACTCATATACTAGATAGTATAAACTCAAGTGAATTCTTTATATATTCTGGATAGTATAAAGCTCTGAACCATCATTAACTAATTTTTATCTTTGTGTTTTCTTTTTCCTCTCCATTTCCTCCCTTCTTTCTTTTCTTTATGAGAAAAGTATCACTATGCTTGCTGGCCTGAAACTAAGTTGGCCAGGCTGGTCTTGACTTTTATTTATTTCTGCCCTCTGTCACCAGCTTAGCTTTTCACATGATGACTTTCTTTTTCTTTATTTCTTTTTCTTTCTCTCTCTCTCTCTCTCTCTTTATGAAACAGGGTTTCTCTTTGTAGCCTGTCTGTCCTGGAACTTGCTCTGTAGACCAGGCTGGCCTCAAACTCAAGAGCTCAGCCTGCCCCTGCCTCCTGAGGGCTGGAATTAGAGGTGTGTACCACCACTGCTTGCTACTTGATGAATTTCTAATATTAATCAAACACACAGTTCTTTTACACTACATTATTCTAAAGACACATTAACTGATACAGGGGAAGCATGAGGACATTTAACAAAGGCTAATAGCAGACTGGCCCCAATTGACTAAACAAGGGATTCTGCACTTTCTCCCCAGTATCACAAGCAACAAAGTCTGATTTTTTTTTTTTTCAGATGTGTCTTCTGCTATTTTATAGCTTTAAATAGAAACTGGTGTTTTCTGTTTTTTTTTTTTTTTTTCATCATCAAAGCCCTTTCCCCTCAAACTTCCAATAAAATACTTTTATGTTTTAAAACAAAGAAAAAACAAACAAACAAACAAAAACAACCAACCGACCAACCAAACAAAAACCTTAAACAGAACAGAGAGAACACTCCAAATATTAAAGCATGAAAAAAATCTGACATAGGTAAATTCAGGAGAACACTAGTGTATTCAAGAGCTTCCTGTGTGAAATAAGTTCTACTATGGGAAAGCCTTGAGAAGTTGGGACAGGCAGTAAGCCAGGCACAGTGAAGCAAGGATTTACTCTGATTCCAAGAAGAAAGTAAAGTCTCAAAGTTCAGAAGTAAGCTCTCTGCAAACCCCACCCCTCTCTATCCCTGAAGGAGAGACTTTTAACTAGGTGGAGAAAAGCTAGTACTCCAGCTAATCCTGCAACCTCACATAGGAACAAATCAGTAGCTAACACTTAGGAACCTCACCTCAGTGAACCACAGGTGTCAAATCCAACAAGCACAGGCACTAAGCTCGAAGAACCACGAAGAACCACGAAGGCAGGGAGGAAGAAGGAAAGGCAACAGGGAGGAGACGACAAGACAAGGTGCTGGGGCTCAAAATAACACAGCAAAACAAACCTGGAGGAAAGCCACTTCATGAGAGTAAGGGGCTGATGATGCACTCAGGGGTAGAGTGCTTCTCCGGCTGCATTTAAGTGCTGAATTTGATTGCTACCAACCGGGGGCGGGGGGGGGGGGGGTAGGAGCTGTGCAGGAGAGGAGAGGAGAGAGGAAAAGAAAAAAATATAAGAAAACAAAAAACCCACTATAAATCAAGCTGAAGCCCCTAAGAAACAAGAGGGACTGAAAGGGTTAAGAACTGGAAGGGCAAGGAGTATAAGGAGAATTACAAAGTAAATGCATAATCAGTAGGTATGTGCAAATGCTTAAAAAGCAAATCAAAACAATTCTTCAAAAAGAAAATCAAGAAAAGATGGGCATAGTGCTGCACATTTTAATCCTAGCACTCGAGGAAGCAGAGGCAGGTGGACTGCTGTAAGTTCAAGGCCAGCCTGGTGTACAAAGTGAGTCCAGGACAGCCAAGGCTACACAGAGAAACCCTGTCTCAAAAAGAAGAAGAAAAGAAAAGAAAAAATCATGAAAGACTGATCCTACGAAATAGAAAATCAACAAGGTAAAGTGGGGATGAATAAAAACAGAAATAAAAATCAGGCAGTTATATTATAATTAAAATATGCTAATAAACAGCTGTTCCTGAGAATTCTCGGAGTGGCTATACATAAGAGCAACAGAAAAAAAAGCAATACTTTCTTAAGTAATAGTAACAGCCATTTAAAGGTAAAATAAGATGTTCAGATATGAGAAAAATCATAAAATTATACTATATATGCCATTTCAAATATATTGAGGACAATTTTTGTAATAAGAACCACTAGTGTAAAAAAGATGTCAATTCTTCTCAAATTACTCTTTAAGAAAAGAATGAAACATAATAGATATTCCAATAGAATTTTTTTAAGTTGTGAAATTTTCCTGAAATATAAAATACAGAAAACTGGTCAATACTTTTTAAAGGCCTAATCTATGGGTTCCCTGAGCTGTCAACACGAAACACCAGCAAGTGTGCCACACTGCCACAGCAACACGCAAACATTTCCTACCTAAATGGAATGCAACAAGAGAAGATGACAACACGGCAAATCACTTAACTTTATTACTGTTTCTATTCCGTTCAAGATTCCTATTCGTAAAGTATCAGTAAGACTTTTTTAAAATGAAGAAAAAGAATGGCTAGTGAGAAAACATCAGAACAACATAATCACATCTAAGCTTGGAAGTAACAGAAGCAGAAACACGCAAGATATGAGCCAATTCCATCTCTTACATTACTTCTGGAATGTATCCATTCTTTCTCCTCTACCTGGTAATGAATCCTAGTTAGATCATATCTTGCTCTACCTATCACTGAAGCCTATCTATAACTGTTAGTTTCCTCTTATTGTCATAAATACCTGAAACAAGCAACTTAAAAGAGAAAATGGTTACTTGGCTCACAGTTATGAA